CAGTTTTTAACTTTCCTCATTCTAGGAAGGGTTAAATGAGGACTTTGTTTGCTAGAGGTAGACATTTCAGTTAATTTTTCCTTACAATATATATCCGTTGAGAATAGGGTTTGTTTATATTTAAAAATAAAACGATCGGTTATTACAAACACCACAATACTATTTATCTAAAATATAAATAAGAATATAGAGATGAATATTCGTTAAGTGTTTTGAAGGTTTCCTTCAATAGCGCGATACATAGTCACGATTTTAAGGAAAAAATATGTTTATTATGGTTGAAGTTTTGAACAAAGCATAATATCAAATAACAAGAGCTAAAGAACTAAAGAACAAGAGCCCGGTTTTCATGAAATTGCATATTTTGTTTGCATGCATTTCTCATATTGGTGATCAAATATCTTGACGAATTAATTGACCAATACGCAACTATTCAGATTTTATACTAAAAATGTTTGCATATTTCATGATAAATGCATATTTTGATTATTCGGTGATAGAAAAAATAATAATAAATTTGATTAAACTTAAGAAACGTTAGTTAACTGAATTAATCAAATAGAGACAGAAAATCCTGACTATTTATCATTCTGACAATTAAAGAAAATAACTGTCAACAAAACTAATTCAAATTTTCTATTACTACTAATTTTATACTATTTATTTTTTCAATAAGTACTTCACATTATCTTTTAATTATTATTAATAATGCGTTAATTAGTTTTCAAATATTTTCATATTCGCGTATTTTTAAACCTTTTTAAAAAATGATATGCATTTATCAAATATTGTCAGTCATCATTTTCATATACGACTACCTATTGCTTTTTTATACCTTACTAATTAGAAGTTTGTATTATTTTGATATTTTGGTTTTTAAAAATGTATTTCATATTGTGTTTTGAACCATTAATACATTTTTATTTTTTGTTTTTTTTTTATTTTCACATTATGGTTTACTTATTTTGGTTTATAAAAAAAAAGTATATTTTGTTTTTTCTTTAATTTATAATCCTTCATCCGATTAAGTTTTTTATTTCAGAACTTATTGTAGGTACATTATGGTAAATAAATAGTTTATCTGTATTATTGTATATTTCGAGATTTTTCACTGCATATTTGACAATTTTTTATCATTAGTGACTTTTTTAAATATAAAAATGCGGATTCTGCTAATATGTATTTAATATTTTATAATACCATTGAGTTTCTTAATTTATTTTCTCTTCCAATTTAAGGTTATATATATACAAATTCGAAAATGAAATATTAATTCCACATTGACAAAATTTAAGAAAAAATTAAATACGTTCCAAATCTCACAAATTTGCTTAAATCAATTAATCAATTTTTGACTTTCAGTATAATATCTGAAGAAACTGTGCCAGTCGCTTCCGGTTCAATAAAGTATACTAACAATCAGTTCCTCGAACCACTCGGTAGTAATTAGTCCAAAGCTAAAAGAAGATTTTTTTTGGCAAAACAAATCTTTAGCCAATACTGGAGGGAAAAAAAATGCTTATATGAAAACGAAAAACAGCGACCTTCTTTCACCTATGAAAAGTCTTTGAACTCAAAAAGAAGCATCCTGCGAAATGCTTTGAACAGCCGTTCTTCAGTAAATGGTACAGGATCAGATTCTATAGATGGGAATAAATCCAGCACTTAAACATCGATTAAATTTAGCAATGGATATACGACAATTGTCAGCCAGATCTCCCCATGTTCACAAAATGTTTCTGGATTTCAAAAGGTTTTGGGGGGACTAGTCCGACAAATGGGCCATTGGTCCGACGCCTAGCTAGAAGTTGCTGCCAGGAACTAACCAAAGTAAGAGCGTCGAGATTCACTTCTCTAGGACGCAGAGACAGAAATAATTACTGAACGACAAATGAATCGAACCCACAAACATTCCAAATCTGGAGCCCACAGCGGTACCCGAGGGAACAAGGTTTACTGCCTCTAATAATAAGTGAACTTGGATATAAGACTAACAATGACATAACAAAAGATATTTACATATCACTTTTTTAACTCTTTATCACTAAATATATATCACTAAATTTAGAACGGATTTTTCCGTTCCAACTTAATCTCGATATACAAGAAGAAAGCAGACACTAGTGAAGCCAGTATTTGATAAGAAGTCTAAGGCCCGGGAGTGAATAGGGAAGAATTCCAATATAGGCTGTAGCTAGGCCAATGTCTTATAGCATGCCGGACCACTCCTTCGATACCCCCATCCTCTGGTTTATATTGTAAATATACTTATAAACATGATGGAATTTTATTTTATATAAAATAATAAGAATCCGTATATCAACGTTAAGCAATTGTGAATTGATGGTTGACTGTAGTGAATAATTGAAGTGATGATTGGTTGGTGTGTTCAGTAAAAAAAAAATGAAAAATAAATAAATTATATTTATTTTTATTTTTAGTATATGTACCGCTGAAGCGAGACTACTAAATAGAAAATCTAAACTTTTTATTGAAAATAAAATATTTATCTATAAGACAATACTGAAACATACTTGGACTTACGGACTTGAACTGTGGGGAACAGCAAAATTTTCTAACATCAAACGCATCCAATCCTTCAGTCAAAAGTCTCGAAGGACATTATTCGATGCTCCTTTCTATGTAAACAAAAAAACTTTACACTGTGACCTTAATATCCCATTTTTCCTAGATCTTATCCCAGCGAAATTCTTTAAATTTCACCAAAACCTTACCTCTCTCCGAATCCCTTTGCACAATCCCTATCCAGCACCACCCATCCCTATAATCCCCTAAGAAGGTTAAAACGGCAGTGGCCCCGCGACCTTTTATAGTTTTGTAAATATTGGAGTTCTGGTAATGGCCAGATTCTCCACTCACGAGAGAAGTGTATGTGGCTAAAGCACTCTCACTCAATCTTCACTGGGTTTAGTCCCAGTGACGCGGTTGAGAGAGAAATGCAGAGAACTGGAGTCATGCTTTTTCCTCCACAGTTGGAGGGACAAGTTTGGTTCGGAGCTCTCGCGCCTGATTGTAAATAGTGTATGGTTTTGTTCTTTTTGTTTATTTATTTTTAGATTATTTTATACTTATTTATTTTGTATATATATTATTATTATTATTGTACATAGAGTGTGAATGTGATCTCTGAACACTATTATAAATGTCTTTTGAGACAGATTGTAATATTTTCAATAAACAATAAAAAAAATTTTTTTTTATTTTTACTATTATTTTTATGTTTGTTATTATTTCATTTTGGCAAAAATAAAAATAAGTATAGTTTATTAATTTTTACAATTTTTTTCTTTTTTTTTTTAACGGACACCCTAACCAATCTTTTGTTCAGTTACGAAATTATTAAGTATTAATATATTTTACTTTAAGCATAGTTTCCTTTCCAACCTGCCTTAAGGCAAACACCAGTGTAATCAAATAATTTTAAGTAAAGATAATATATATGCATGAAGTTCTCACATCTTGGAAACATCACTGCGATTCATAAAGATCTACATACAATTTGATGACGTAATCACCTTTCGTCCTCCAAATGTGAACAAAAGAGGATTAAGAATTCATTTTGAATTACTTTCAAACTTACTGGTTAGATTCCATTGCAAGTATTGCAACTCATTCTGTAATAGAGCAAGGAAGAGCACAGGAAATCAATATCAGACTCGAGGTAAATTATACCGGAGCTTCTTAGGAAAAAGTGCTTCTATTTCCCATTTGAAGATCTCATCAGTCAGATACCACCATAAACTATTAATTAATTAGCTCTAGAACTCATCAAAACCGACTTACTAGATGATATAATTAGTGGGAAAAACTAGGATAAGTAGTAGAAGGTACCTAGTAAGGACACTACCTGCTGAAAGGAAGTTGTTCAAATTATTAACAAGTCGCAATTAACTGCAAGCACCTCTGAACAGAAAATGGCGTAAAAGACAGGAAACAATTTTAAGATAAAATTAAAATATGAAATCAACTCTGAAAGGAAATCAAAAAAAAAAATTGAAAGAGTATAACATAAACTCTTGTAGGTTATATGTTACCATAGCTCATAAGTCGCAGTCATAACATTCCAAAATTCGTAAAACGGTAAGCCTTTATAGTATAACCAACACAACTTTTTTTTTTGTATATTCCAAAGATTAGCCAAATCCTAAATATTTAAGTTCGTTTTATGTCTTCTAAAAATTCTTCATTAAAATTGCGTATTTTAATAATATGGCCAATTTTAGATTTGATATTTGGTGAAATTGTTAAACAGGTGATCTTAGACCAGGTAGGCTAATCTATTCTTGATCTTGTCTTCATAACGATCAAGAGAGAGGTATCTCATCGAGAAAGCGGTGGAGTAGATGAGATAAGTGTCCAGTTATCTCAAAGCTCAGTTCAGCATGCCAAAGATATCCAAATCATTATTATCTTATATCTAAGACGGCAGCCTCAACTATATCTGAGAAACTTTGAGTAGACGAATATTACCAGTTCGTAAAGTTCAAAATAGATTTCTGATTTTAAACATAAAATCTCATATTGAAAAAAAATAATAATACCATACAGAAGCACGTAGTTCATTGTTTTATGTTAGAAGTCATCCTCAATAAATAAAAAATGAAGAAATATCAATAAACAAAAAATATTCAAGAGACGTTAGATTTTTTTCTTTTATTAATGTTTAAAACATTGCTATATGTTTTAACTTCTTTGGTTTGCATTTCCGATTTGGTTGCATTTGCAAAACCTTATTTTCTGAACAAATTTATTTTACAAATATATCTACTCCCTAGAGGGTCGTTAGCATACTACATATATTTTTTATTTACAATTTAGGTAATTTCACCACAAAATATTACATGCTTAGTTTAACTACATACAATGGCAGATTTTTTAAAAAAATTGTTTAAATTTTCAACAGCAATTTCAGTCTCCAGCATGCCATTTTTGTTGCAATCACTCTTTGCATTCTTAGGACCCTCCCAGTCCAGCAGAATATGCTTCGTCGTCAGAAGTACCAGGTCTTGCAGTTCGATGGTTGATTCCTTCTCTTTTTCCACGCTGATTGCTCCACCATTGGCATATCCCTGTCCTTGCGTAGTTGCACCAATCTAAGGCGGTAATCTTATTGACACTTGACAGTTTAGTAACAGGATCCGTTCTCGCGACATTTTTTATGACATAAGCAAAACCTATAAAAGCTCTTTTTTCTTATTCGCAATAATAACCTTATATAATGGTGGGAAAATAGCTAAAATAGAAAATGGGGTTGAGGAACCTATCTCATACAACCTAATTTATATTCACTACTTAATTTATTTATTAGCAGACAACATGTATTTTGTTTTCATATATTTTTATCATAGATTTGTAATAAATTTAGTTTTTTAATTACCTTGTTTTTCTTTCTAATGAAGGCATGAAACATTGGCAAAAACGTAGGCACAAAACAAAATTTTCTTTTAATTGTGTTTCTCACTATGACTCCTATCTCCAATTAACTTCCCAATCATATACATAAGTCACTTTTTTTACGCTTCAGGTAAACCGGACCAAGTTCACAATTGCAGCCTCAGTAACAGCTCTAAGGTGAGCTTCTCCATCAGGTGCCAGGAAGGATTCAACGGGGGGCTACCGCAATCCTTCCTCCTCGAAGTGACAGAACCCGGTTCTTCCAAGATCGTCTGGAATATGACTTCGGCTGTTCCCAGGTATGGAACTTTGCATGTGATGAAAGTCGTGGAATGTTAGCATTTAGCATCGTATTATTCCGAAACATTTACTTGGAACAGAAAAATTAATCTTTCTTTTTATATTTAATAAAAAAGAGTATTTATTTAAATTAATTATTAATGTCACTGATGATTAAAAAATCGTATTAAATACTTTATTATTATTATTACTATTCATGAAATTTACATCTGTATAAATATAAATATGCATTTAGTAAATGTGATACAGAGAAATACATAGCATGACAAGGCTTGTAGAGGATCTACTCATAGGTAACACTCTAATAAAGTATCTAGTGGGCCAAATTGGAAACATATAGAACATTCAGGTCGTTATGGATTATTTCATTTGTAACAAATTAAGGAGCATAAGGGATCTTGGATTTTGGATTGTAAAGATTGGATACGAGAGGAATTTGGTTGTTTTGTGAAGCTCAAAGCTCAGCTCCATAAGTCCAAACAGGTCAATATTATAGTCATTTATAGGAGTATTTTTTAATTAATTGAAACCTTAGAGCGTTTATCTAGTAAGTGCTGAAGTAGTCGGAAACGTCGAGCTGTTTTTTGTCGTTCAGATAGGTATGAGGATTACGAGTTAGGCGTTTGTCCAGATGGAGTACTAGGTATCGGATTTGTTTAACAGGGATAAGTGGAGTATTGTTAAAGGATATTATAAGACAGGAAGTCATAAGTTTATGACGAAGGGTGAAGGTACTTTGGTGGGATTTATTCGAATTTATTTTAGTTCTCCAGTTTTTACACCTTTCTTCAATGTTTTCGATTTGGGATTGAAGAGGTTGGGATGCAATTAAAGGATCGTTATTAACAGATAGCAAACATGTGTCATCGGCGTAAGTGATGATGACAGTGTCAGGATGGGTTGGGATGTCAGCTGTATAAACTGTGTAGAGGATGGAACCGAGGATACTACCTTGTGGAACGCCTGCAGATTGAGCAAAGAGGGATGAGAAGACATTATTTTGGTTTACTTTGAAGTATATATCAGTAAGATAGGAACGAATAATGAGGAAGTATGTAGGCGGTAGTAATTTTCGCAGTTTATATAGCAGTCCAGGGTGCCAGCCTCTATCAAACACCACCTCAACGTCGAGAACGACTTCCGTGCGGTACATTCTGAGCCCTAATATAGAGTTATTAAAAACTAAAATTAAACTTTAAAAAGCATTTTCCAATTATTATAGGATATCGCTTTTTTGTTAAAGATGAAAAAAAAATTGAAGAAATAATATTTAATAAAAATAATAATCTGTTTGAATGAAAACAAAACGACGTTAACATAAATAAATGCATTATAGATTTTTTATAATTAATGTTTAAAACAATTTTGGATATTTTAAAGATATGGTTAATTAATAAATTTGCAGCTAAACTAAACATTTTTAATAGGTTATATCGAACTGAAAATAAAGATATATTATGATAATGTTGTTTAAATCATAATGCCTTTCTTGACGTTGAACAGGCGTCTGATAAGAGTCTGGCACCCGAAACTGCTGTACACCGCAAATTCCTACCGCATGTATCCGTAACTTCCTCATTATCCGTTCATACGTTACTGATCGATATTTAAAAGTAAATCATAATAATGCATGTTCATCCCTCTTTTCCCAGTCTGCTGGTGTTCCTCAAGGATCATCCTCGGTCCTTTCCTTTATACAGTTTATATATCTGATATCCCAACACGGTCATCACCACCTATGCAGATGACACTTGTATCCTATCTGTTAATAATGACTCTTTAATTGCACCCCAAACCCTCCAATCACATATCACAAACCTTGAGGAATGGTGTCATAACTGGAGAATAAAAACAAATTCCAATAAATCCCATCAAATTATCTTCACCCTTCGTCTTAAACCTACAACTTCTTGTCCTACAATATCCTTCAATGATATTCCACTTGCTTCTGTTGAACAAATCCGCTACCTAGGACTCCTCTTGGATAAACTTCTCACTTGGAATCCGAATACGAGACTGAAACGACAAGAAACTGCTCGACGTTTCTGACTGCTCCAACACTTACTAGACAAACGCTCTAAACTTTCAATTAATTACAAAAGACTCATCTACTTAACCATAATAAGACCTATATTGACATACCGAGTTGAGCTTTTTGGCTCTGCCAAACCATCGAATTCCTATCGTATCCAATCATTACAAACCAAAATCCTTCATAAAATCCTTAATGCCCCATATTGTGTTACAAATAAAACCATTCATAAAGACCTTAATGTCCCATATTCCGCTGGTTTAGCCCGAGCCAGATACCCATAGATACCTATCCTTTCATGATTAACTCCAGTCCCATCCGAATCCACTTGTTTCCAGCCTTGCTTCTTCCTCGATTCCTGATAATCCCCCAGGCATTTGTAAAGAAGATGGCCTCGTGATCTTCTCACCTAGAATTAAATAGGGAGTACTACCACTGTCACAAATAAAACCACTGGGCAGTATCTCTTCAAGTCTGTTCATGTCATGATTTTTAATGTGTGCATTTTTACTAGTTGTATTGTTTATACAATTGTAAATTTCATTAAATAAAAAAATATTTAAAAAATCATAATAACATTGTTGAAAGTCGTAAACTGAAAATTGGTCATTTTTCCCTTGACAGGTGGACTGTGTTCGGGCTGCAGCCTGGCATCAACTACGAAGCTCTGGTCTACAGCGTCAACGGGAAGGGAAGGAGTGAACCGATGGTGTTACAAGCACCTACGATGAGGTTACCGGAGAAGCAGCTCACAGCTGAGAGAGGTAAAGCAATCCAAGTTCTTATTTAAATTAAAATAATGATAAATACTTTCCATAAAGTCAGTCTGTATAGAATTTTAGTAGATAAACTATCGTTCACAAGGGTGGTAAGGAAGAATATAACCAGTTGATCCGAGCGAATAATTTTTAAACTAAATCGGTCCGTATGATAATATAAAATTCAAATATATAAATCTGCTATATTATGAGAGAGTGAAATTTATTGTTACTTTCAATAAATTATATAATAGGTAGCTATCGAATTTCCTTTACCTAAAGAAACTTTTTTTTAAATAATCACATTGTCAGTAGTAATAAAAAATGAATCAACTATGAAAAAATCCACAAATAACCGAAGGTAAAATAAAGACTTGTATGGCGTTATACCGAAACGACGATCAACAAAGACAACTCGAGCTTTGCCGAGTGGTTAGCTCCCAAATGAACCAAATTCAAGTTGTTTTATTATTGCTGATTATGATCCCATTCCAATTATTTTATTTATTTTTTTTTTTTTGGCTTTTTCGTTTAATAAATATAAGATTATATATTTTTTAATTCATCATAGGCTCTGCCAACCCTAAATTGTATGCTTTTTAAATTATGCGCAAACAAATTTTTCACATCTTAATAAATACTTTTTCTTGTGGATGTTCCTAATTTTGGCGATGAAAAAGAGAATGATCTTCATAATTATAGCTCAATTATTGGATTTGATAAAGTATTAAAGAAATTATGGAGTATTGATGAAAAAAAAATTCGTTGAGAAACAATATATAATGAAAGGTAAAACGAGGTAAGTTCAGCGTGGTATACTCCGATTTGATGTCATAGAATGATGTGATTTTGAGGGTTTTTTTTTTTTTTTTTTTTTGTATTTTTGTCCTAATGATTTCTGAATTGTCGAAACATTAACTAAGAGGCCACAAAGCCGTATAGCAGGATTTTTGCAATCACAAGCTAAGGTCTATTTTCTGATCTTGGTGAATATTTCCTCGTTTATATAAATAAAAATATTTTTTTATCATTACCTTCGTACATTTTCCGCACTATTACCAATCTCAATAATGTGACAGAATGTTACATTAATCAATAAATAAACGATAAAAACATATATATTTCCACCTCCAATATTTACCGGTAATCATTAGTGAAAAAAAGCTACGACTAACGGAATTTCTTGACAGATATACAAAAACTGCATATACAAATGTAATGCATCTAAAATATTAAAAAAAAAATGCAAATACTAATTTATCAATATGATTTACCAATGGATAAGGATTCTTTATATTGGGTTCTAAGATAAATTATCATATAAGAAATAAATTAAATTACAAAAAAAATAAATCAATTACATCGCTACAATATAAATTAATTAGATTAAATTAAGCAGCATTACAATAGTGTACTAAAATTATCTGCATGAAAGATTTGTCCCTCTGACCGAGGTAAAATATCAATTGAAATTTAAAATTAAAGAAAATATTCGAAATTTAAAAAAATAATCTGTGATCGAAATATATGGTTTAATTCACTAGATAAATAAAATAATAATGAGCTTGATGATTAGATGTAATTTTTCAGGTGGGTATTCGGGAAGCAGCTTATAATAATTGTAGGGAAATCAGATATGGAATAAAATAAAATATAGGTCTTCGTATATTTTTTTTAATATATACTTTTAAGAACTTTTATCTACAGGTTTTGAACTATCTGTACCTAAAGTTCGCCTAGCAACTGAAGATCTTCTGGTATGGAACTGGTCCCTCCCTAGGAGTTGAACACTAATAGAGTAGAGGCTGGATGAGGATCTAACAAGGTCCGAGATGCTATTACCATATTAAACGAGCCACTAACCGTTGATAGCTACCAACGTTCCAACGTGGTAGGTTCCTTACCGCATTTCCGACCATGACACCGTTCCACTGAGAAGATCTCATGTTTGAAGAATCAGTAATTCCTGGAAGCTATGAGCAACTGATGCATTTGAAAGAAGCAAAATTATAATGATCCAATCATTTCAGACTTATACTTAAGTATAAGAATCTTTCATATATAACAAAACTTGGAGGTTACCAGAGAGATAATTAATGTTTTGTATTAAGTAACATCAATGTCAAGAATAATTACTTTCAATAATTATTATAGCCGATTTCAAATAAAAGTCGTCATCTTCATAATTAAGCTCGAAAAGTAATTGCCGGCACATCATGAATAAATTAGTACTATATTATTATAGTACTATAATAATATGTATATATATATATATATATATATACATATTTTTGTTTGAGAGGGACATGCCATTTTTTTCTACTTCGATTATTTTCAATATAAGATTATATGTAGAATAATGTTTATAGTATTAGCGGAATCCATCGCTCGCAGTAAAGTCTTGGTAACCTCTTTGCATACATGAGGGACGATTTAGATTAGTAGCTTATGACGTCCCTTTCATAACCCAGACTCTCGGCCAGTTTCGAAACATACTCTGCAGTTGGCAGTGCTCTTTGGCCATATATATGAAATAATTGCCTCACGAACTAAAGCGGAACCAATTCAATAGCTTATAGATATCTTAAGCTCCATATTTCAAAAGCATACAAAAGGGCTGAAGATACTATAAAACCAAAAAGAGCTAAACAGATTCAAATATGTATTCACATAAAAAAAAAGTACAGCATCGAAGAAGAGAAATGATGTAATATAGCAACAGCCTCACTGCATACTTATAATGTTCAATAGTTTCAACTATAGATAACATTTTTCAAAGATTCTTAACCATTACAGAATTATAGGAGTGAATATCTCTTATTCAGGTCAAAGCCACAGTGGAAAAATAAATTCGGAAAAGGAACCGATAAACTTCCGGAAATAATAAGGCTTCAGAGGAGGAAGCAATAGAAAAAAAAACATTACCATTGAGGGCGAAGTGTCGTAGCTGATAAAGCCACTTTATCCCTCTTTGCCCCCTGCGGCGAAAGGCAAAGGAAAATCAACAAGGTTTAACTGCGGCCGCACGTGCTCTAAGCTTTCCCGCACCCAGTTCCACTATCGGAAAATATATGTTTATTGCGAAAGCAGTCCGGTCAAGTGAGGACAAGCGTATTAATAATGACAAAGCTATTAGTGTAACCATTAAGTTTGCAATTCTGATTACAACTCTAAATTAAATTCCTCTGTTTGATTCTGCATCATTGGTTGAATTCATGTAATAACTAATTGAAGAGACTAGCTATTGCTTATAAGCGCATGGTGCTATTTAATATACAATGCAACCAGTGTTCGAGTAATCATAAAGAATCTCTTAAAGATGGACTAAAACTTACTGAACTAAATTTAATTTCTTTTTCATGCCTATTCCCTTTACTATTTTCTCCAATTTTCTCTGGTAAAAAAACATTAGCATTGATTATTTGCTTATATGGCAAGCCTTCCATAACCCCATGTAGTCGATAGGCTAGTAAGAGAGCAAATAAAAATAAGGAATGGATTCATCGCGTTTAAGATCTACTGAAAGAGGGTAAAACTAAGGTTGGAAATATTTCTCCGAATCGTCCGTATGGACAAAACAAATTAATTATTAATAAAGAAAGAAAGCTTTCACAATATTTTACTCTAAAAGATGAATAAAAAAATATTATATTACTAATACTATTTTAAGTTAAAAAGTAATAATAAATTTAATATTTTTAATATATAAATGTATATAGAGGTAAGAAGAATATAACAACATAAAATTTATAGAAGGAAGAACAGCCACTTCAATTTGAAAGCATTCTCTGGAACTCAAATAGTCAATTAATTAATGAGACGGTGGTATAGAAATCTATACTTAATCCAATAACGACATACGCCTAGGATACATAGGTCATTATTGACAAACAGTTAGCTATAGAGATAGACTTTTGGAGAGAAGCAGTAAGGAAATCCTGAAGTGAAAGATTTCTGGAACAGGCAGAGATGGAGAGGAATGTCTTCGCAACTATTAAAGAAAAAATATTACACTTGTTTGGACATCTTAAAATAAAGTCGTCAAAAAGACCTCTTATGATAAATATGGAACCGAAAATAGGTCATGATGGCTAAGCAAGATTGATCAATGATTAAAGAATCTACAGATTATCACTCTGGTTAGAATAGGGTTGATTTACTTCTAAAACAATCCATATCATTCCAGGAATGGCGAGATAGAAGCAAACTGAATAAATAAAAATATGGAACTGAAAATAGAAGGAATAAGAGGAATGCTAAAATTAATAAGGAAAATGAGGTGAAAGAAAGTCCGGCTGGACATGGGATCAGGTAAAAAACAAGCCAGGTTAGACAAAAGAAAATTGCTTAATATAGAAACCTACTGGCCGACAGTGTAACAACAACCAATCGTGCCACCCGTACCATAGCTTTGTTATATTATAAATTATTAAAATCAAAATTTCAGTAGACTGTTAATAAATATAATGAATAAAGGGGGTGCGTCTCCATATACTTCAGTCGGAGACAAAGCCTTTAAAGTTAATCCCATTGAAGTTGGCTGAAGGAAGTTTATAGTGACCAGACTATTCCTGTGAATCCCCGCAACCAAGACGAAATTATCATTGTTTATAAACTAAACTTTCTTCGAACGAAGAGAATAGCTGCTGCGATAAACCAGAATACAACCTGAAGTTATGAGGTGCGTACGTATTATCGAGTTGCTCATCGGAGTTGGGGAAACTGGCGGAAGAAGAAGATAAGTGGTCCCTTAGAAAGTTTGTTTCAGTTCAACTTTGGCAAGGAATGCCCTAGTTACTCCTGGGAGCACATATCAAAAGGCTAAGTTTGGCCGTAACCTTTCAGCCATGAAATGAATCCGAAACCAGAACTCACTTCAGGGCCAGATAGCTCGCGTCATTGTGGCTCTTTAAAATAGGTGTTCGATGCATCCTTTAATCTAAATAATTAATATTTTGTACAAAATAAAATACATGTGTGCGACAATAATATAATTTTAAACTATA